TGTGCTAAATGTATATATTAATACCAGATTTGGCATCAATAGCATCATGACATTTTCAGGATACAAGCCCATGGGTTTACACTTACTGTGATGTCTTCTAGTGACGAGTCAATGATCTCATAGTTGTCTGGCAGACAGTAAAACTTGAGCGTGTGCAGATTGAGGAACACATGATGGGTGAACTGTACACTGTGGGTGTATGCGTGAGACTTCAGACCTCTACCTATAAAAACAACAAAGTAGTGCATCAATCAGTCCAAGCACAACAAAGATGCTAATCCCAGATTAAAATTAAATGTAACGAGCTTACCTTGAAAATATTTCCCACATATAAGGCAGGCATAGACATTGATGTGAGAGAGAGAGATGGAGCAGAGCTTCTCGAAGTCAAAGTCCAGCACACTCCTGAAAAATTAACAGAGAAACTGGAGATGAGCTACAGAGGACAGGGTCAATTAGCACTTAGCGCTAATGTTAGCAGGGTACATTCAACTCTGTCTTGCCTGTTTATGGTGTCAAGATAAGGGCAGTGACGGCTTCTTCGGTCTTCTACTACACGTCCTCGTCCTACTTTGGCTGTCACTGCAACAAAAAGTGACCCACAACAAACGGAAGCAATTTAGACTGTGTGCATTCAGTAAAATAGCTAAACATGCTAGCTCACTTAGCATTGAGTTGGTAACACATGTTTTGACTACACGGAACCATTTGGAAGGGCGGTGCATTTGTTCAAGCTACACAGCGGTGACGCTTGTTGACCCGTCAGCGTGTGACCGGACCGAGCCGTAATTAAAATCAAACACAACACTGCTAGCAACATAGCTAACTGCTAACCAAACGCAGGACTGACGTTTGAAGGAAACAAACTTACCTCCGTCTTCGTTGTCATCGTCGTCCAGATCTTCTTCTCTTTCTCGCTTTAATGAAATCATCGCAATAAAAAGCTTGCGATCTTGATGTCAAAATAACAGAGAAGGCAAAAACTTTAGGGTATTTGGAGGATATGAATGGGGGCAAAGCCGAGCGCCTCGAAACTCGCGGTGCTTGTACGTCGCAGCTGAAGAGTAGCAAACTAAAACCTAACCCGGAGTTAGCTTCCGAGTCATCGACTAAGGGGAAAGTTAAGGTAAAATCTGGTATTCTGAAAACTACTATGCAGAGACAGGTCAAACTTAGACTAGACCAAACACTAGACTTTTTAAAACACACTTTCTGATCTAGTCCACATTAGACCAGCTCTAGATACAAAAAACTACCTATAGACTGTCCTAATCTGGACTAAATTATACCAGAGAAGCTAAAGATGATTTAAAACACTGTTTCTAATTTTTAAAACCTTTATTGTATTTGTAAACATGCAAAAAAAAAGAGAGATTTTTTATTTTTTTTTGCCACCCAGGCCCAGATCTAAAAACTAATCTGACCCAAGTATAGTGGTTTTAGATCTGGACCTGGTGAAATGTGGTTTACTTTTTATTTTGAAGGGCAGGATCTGCCCTATTTGTATTCTAATAATCAGAATAAGGTTTTATATTTAACAAATGGGTTTCACACATCATAGAGGGTTCACAGCAATAAAATCTGATTTAATAAAACGTATAAGTAAGTTTTTCCTTAAGCATCGGCATGCTTAGCATTGCTGGGCAGTACCAAAATCTATGTGATTACTTGCAGCTTTTTAATCTATAACCTGCTGTCTAAATTGAAACATTTGTGATAGTTGTCTCTTTTTTTCTAACAAGGTTTCACCCTGAAACACAACTGTGTTTTAGCTGTTGTTGATGTGTGAACTCCGGGAGCGTTATAAATGGACAACAACTTACCGCTCAGCTAGCTATAGCCATGTAGCTTTTTGTCAGCTCACAGTGCTGTGATTGAGACTTGTTGCAAACATTAGCGCCATTAGCTCATAAATACTGTCGCCGTATCAAAAGCGTTCGCTAAAATGGATATTTTGAGGGACGACGGAGTGCATGAGCTGAAATACAAACCTGGGGGCCGTTTGGATATGAGCCACGGCTTCCTGCACCATATCCGGAGGAACCAGATTGCGAGGTGAGTCCCTCAACTACCGTTAGCTAATGCTAGCAGGTGATATACAAGCTAGTTGACAACATCCAGACTCAAAGCCTGGAGCTGCTTCCTCATTGTTTGATGAAAGTAGATCTGGTGGCGAATGAAGAGTTATTGGTAGGATGGGTTGGGATTAATAATCACGCTTCACTGCTCAAAACGACCGTAAAGTGGAAGGTAGCACAGGCCTGTTGGATAAAGTTGTGGATGCTTTAGGACAAGTGGATAAAACAACATTTAACTGCCTGTTGCAAAATAAATACATTCATTAACACGTGTACTGTTCTAAACTGCGGGCTTAAAACTGTTTTAAAAGCTGCTGACAGCTTTTTTTTAATGCTGTTGCTCCTGTTACGTCTACTGGTTGGTATCTGTGTCAGGATTGTAAGGTTATGCAGTCAGTGCTCGACCTTAAGGCTGCTAATATAACAGGCTGGGCTGCTTGTCATTGACAGAGTTTAGCCACATGAAGGGTAGAGACCACTGTTGTTTGTTTCTGAAATGACTATCAACCCACCATCTATAATTTTAATTGCAATTTCTCAAATGTACTGGCACATAGGAAGGATCAGTGCTGGTGTCAAGTGGATTTTACTGACATCTCAGCTCTACACACAAAATGCATCCATCCCCAGACCAAAACAAGACAGGAACTGTGACAAGACAGAATACATGTATCATAAAGACAGAACACGTATCAGAAAAGAATCAGACATCACTGCATGTCAATGAGCAAAGTGGCTTAGTGCTAAATAAATAAGGAGTAGAAATAGTTAGATAAGGTTGTTTGGTGCTTCCTGATATGTACAGGAGTTTGTAAGCTATATGCTGTTTACAACATATAAAAGAATCAAATAAAATAGTGAGTGATCAAAGTGACTTTGTGTTAAAGAAATGTTGTTCTGTGGTCCCTGTTGTAAATATTAAATTGTAAATATTATTATTACTATTATCTTTTTCTACTAGATGTGTAAATTCTTGTATATATTTGTCTTATTATCTTGTTTTATTTTTTATTAATATTTATTGTATTTTATTCTTTTCTTTCTTTAGTTATTTTACTTTATTTTATTTTATTTTTTAAATTTTTCTATTATTCGTGCAAATTCCTAGGGCGACACCAACAGCCGAAACCAAATTCCTTGTATGTTGTGTAAGTACTTGGCCATTAAAGCTGATTCTGATTCTGATATTAGCTAAAACAAAATACTTTAAAAGGTTCAAACTATATGCTATTACAGGGGAAAGTCCACAGTCTGATGCCTCCTGCTGTATCTTTGGTTACCAGTGTGGTGTAAAGCTGTGGGGCTTGACAAGTCACCATTATTTACAAGCACTTTCTTTTTTTTTCTAACTACCTTTGAGCCAAAGTGCTCTCCTGTAGTGAAATAAGATTTACTTAACCAATTTAAATGTCAAGGGTAAGATCTTACAGTATTATTCATGAAGTGAATTTACCAGAGAGAGATCCTTCATTCATCCCCACGGGGAAACTCAAGGTATCCAGTAGCTCACGCTTAACGAGAAAAATAAGAGGCAAATTGTGCTCGTAGAAAAAACAGTTTTAGGTGCAAGAAAAAGGTAGATCTGTGCTGGACAATTACAGTATAAATAGTGTAAATACAGCATAACAACAAAAATAATAAACATGCAAATATCATCACTAAAACCCTTCAGAATTCTATGTAAAGCAAATGTACCGAACTAAATCAAATATTAAGGTTAAGATCGTACCATATCATCAATTATACAATTTTACCTGAATTATTTAAATATTAATGTTCAGACCCTAGAACAGGATGTGAAGAAATGCAGACTTAAGTTTGGGTTTAGTGTGTTTTAAGCTTCCACTGACCTCGTGGAACAGTTTTGTCAGAGAACCGTGATTTCAGCTCGTCCGCCTGTCTGCAAACGACAGTAAACATGACTTAGCTGCTCGTTTTTAATCAATCGTGTCATTGTCGAGCGCTTGCTACATATTTTCCCCGCAATAACCAAACATTGGTTTCCTGTTTTCTCAAGAGATGACTACGATAAAGAAGTGAAGCAAGCCAAAGAGCTTCAGCGGCGGAGGCACACAACGACCCCCAGAAGACCCCGTCGACCGGACATCCAAGTGTACCACCCTCGACGAAGACGTGAGATTGATGTGCTTTCTTTTGAGGTTTCTGCTGACGACTGTATCCACTGGAGTAAAGTTAATGCGCGTGTGTGCTAATTTTCCAGATGGTTCAGAGCCAGGGGCCGGTGCTGACGCCGAGGAGTGGAATGAGAGTGGGTCAAGCACAGAGACGGAGACCCACGGGACCGAACTCTTCTGGCTTGACTATCAGGCGGATTCTGGTACCATCACATCCTTCCTTGTGCACAAGGTTAATGCACATTTCTTTGTCTGATAGTTCTGGCTCTGCCATCTTTGCCTTGGCTTTAATCCCCCTTAATGTTCTCTGTGTTTGTACAGGAGGACAAACCTGAGAAGGTAGTGGAACGTGTTGCAGAGAAGAACATTCTGGATTCAGCCATGAGGGCAGCTCTGGAGGCTCGAATCCGAAAAGAAATCGACAAAAGACGAGAGAAACGCTGAGTCATGGTCGCAAACGGTTGATTATGATGACAGGGGAGCTACAGACAGAGAGGAGCAACGCTTCATTTGCTGTTCTGTGCTCCTCCAAAGCATTAACGCTGCGGTGCGTCAGGGGAATAAAGCGGACTCTGGGATGTACAGTGACTGTCAGCAGAGATCTAATGTGAAGACCCACAATCAATCCATCTTCTGTTCTGAACAGAGAAGGAGCTGCACTTATAGACTGTATGGTTGGGAGATGACTGTCAAGTTTATGTTTATTCCATTTTACGAATCTTGGACTGTTACGTCACACTCTGATTCTCGACACTGGGGACACATTGTACACAACAAGACGAGACAACTGGACCTTTTCTTTGTTGCGCTCTTATCGTTAAATTCAGAAACCTCAGGTACTCCTTGACAGAGAGCCCTGAGAGAATCCTTTGGCTTCCATGGAAAGTTTGTCTTGTGTTTACAAAGGTCTACTTTTTATAAACAAGATTTTAAGCTTCTTTTTTTTTTTTAATTCTTTCAACTGAACATCGGTCTGTCTGCAGTTTCATGTTTAGAAATGTGAGAATTCAGTTTTGTTTATTGAGTTTAGTAGATGTAGCCATAGTAATGTTGGCGCCTGTGTTTCATGGTTTTCTGTTCTAATTTATTTTGGGTTGTTGAGAGACTTATTTTTGATACTGTAATATTTTTTTGAGGACACAACTGTGTACATATAAAATGACATACATGAAAGCTATTTGTTGTCGTCTCAGTGTGTCTGAATGTGAACTGACGGAATCGAAAAGCCATGACGTGAGTGTCTTGTGTGCTCATTCAAATCAGAATTACAGATCAATACATTTATAGACTATTGATTACTTCTGTCCTGAAATAATCATTGTTGGGAATACGGTACGTGTAAATTGGGATACAGAAAAATGCTCTTTCAGTTGGCACAAGTGTTTGACATTCGGCCTTCAGCAGGTGGCAGTGTCTGTCAGCTGTACAACTCTGCAGGCCTCTGCTTTACTTTCCTTGTGCCTCCACAGCTGTTTCTACCCACCGTTAAATTAGATTTCATTCTTTAGGCTTATAGTAACTGTGCATCTAAGGTATACTGGTCTGACTATAGTGTCTTTTCCATACAAAGAGGAGTTTTAATCAGTGTAAAATTTCACATATTGTTTCACTTTTTACTAAAAAAGTGCTTAACTAGAACCGAAGTGTTTTGAAGGCCGAGGTGGTAGGTAGTTAAAAGTTAACTGTGAAGCCCCGGGTTGGTTTCTGGCTGGGGCTGTTTGCTGCATGTCACTTATCTGCCCCTCTTCTTCCTGTCAGCTGTCTGATAAAGGCGTGAAATGCTCCTAACATACAGCGGCTCAATAAGGTGTCAGGCTACCATGCAGTCCTACAACACCATCAGTGCACCTTGGCATTGATTCTCCAAGTATCTTAAACTCTGCTGGAGGTGCTGAACGTCATTTTTCCAAATGATATTCCCTAATTTGGAGTTTTTAATGATTGAGGTGAACACATTCATCCCATACGTGTTCAATTGGGTTGAGCTGTAGGGACTATGAAGGCCAAAGTTTATGTTTCATATCATTTTCATACCCATCAAATCATTCATTAACCCCTCGTGATCTATGGATGGAGTCATTATCATCCTGGAACAGACCGCTCGCATCAGGATAAAGATGTATGATCACAGGATAAAGGTGATCACTCACAACAACTTTGTATTGATTTGCAGTGACCTTTTCAGACCATGTCAGCAAAATGCTCCACACAGCAAAACAGAGCAACCAAACAACCTCGCTGTAGGGGTCAAGGGTTCAGGTTTTTCCTTAACTTGACACATAAAAATGATCATGGAGGATTATTGTCCAACAACAGGCAGTGGATTCTATACACAAGATAAGAATTTCCTCTTTTCAGTGTCATAAACCAGGGCGAGCTCCCATGCACACACTCAATTCAGACTTCAACTATGTTACAAAGTTTACATTTTACTTAAACCTACAGACAATGCTGCATCAGTGAACTCCGTCTTTGCATGACAAAGCATAAAATTCACCCACTGGCTTCGAAAATGCTGTGTAACACTCAAGAAGTTCAAAAGTCCTTCAGGTGATTACGGTTTTACGTAACACCTTTCACTGTTTCATTTCTTTACCCACCCACCAAGCTGCAGCAGGAGGTTGCTATTGTTACTCTGGTTTTCCCATGTGGGACAAGCTAGGCAATTTAGAAGTGTTAAACCCCCCTCCAGTCCAATCTTTGAAACACAAAAGCCTAATTCATACAGCTAGGCTGCAGTAAAAAAAGAAAAAAGAAACTGGGGGGGATCTAGCAGTTGATCAGAAACAAGTGACCAAAAAAAGAAATACGAGCTCTTCACAAATGCATCACTCCACTTAAGGCCTAAAAGACCAGCGGCAGCATGCAGGTTAAATGCGTCCCATCAAAGAGGATAAATTGCAGCCAAATTTTTCTCTGTGCATGAAAAGCGGAGGCAGAAAGTTCCGCCAGCAGCCCATGGCCGTGGAAAAAAACACCGTTGACTTGACATTTGGACAGACAGGCTGCTGATCCGCACCATAGTAGGAGATTAACTCATTGTTTTCATTAATGCATGAAAATATGCAAACTTCATCCTGCGACCACATGGCGGGCCAAGTCTCCACAGTGTTATGCAAAGCCTTGTCAAGGAGGAGTGGGCTCTGCGAGGCCATTGGTGCAGCAGAGACACTCCCCTTTAGATCGCCAACGGCTTCCTCCGGCTCATTTTCATTCCTAAGTCAGCATGTGACTCGAGATATTCACATGTCTTCTACTCTGCCGCTCACCAGACAATCTCCAGTTTCACGATTTCTCAATTGGCTGAAAATGACCCAATCACGACTCACACTTTCACACCTTCCCTCCCATTAGTTTAGCTTTACAATGAATGATTACATAACCCTTCACCTATGCTTCTGCAGCTTACCACCTGGAAACACCCACCGAATGTTTCCAAAGCATGAAAATGTGCAATTTAATGAAGCGCTGTTCGTGTCAGGCTGGGTGTATTTGGTAATACTCGAGTATTGCCTAATATATGACATATCACATGTTTATCAGACGTTAATATAATCGTTGTGATTAGACTGCACCATTAGGATTTCCGGCCTGCTGTAAAATCGAGATCAAGATAACTGCGGCGCTGCCTCGAACATTCCTGTCTTTTTTTTTTGGTTTGTTTTTGCAACAAGCTCTAGATTTAATTTAAAACTCTTCTATCATTCATAGTAGATGTTCAAATATTGAACCAGTTCCCTCATGTAACCCTTTAAGAGCCTCTAGCAATTCTGTTCTTCATCAACAGCAGATACTCGGACGCCTTCAGCTTCCTTCCTTTCACAGCTCAGTAAGTTTTCTTACTGAGGTACCAAACATTTGATAAGCTCTTCAAATATTGCAAACAAAGTGCTATTGTTCAGCACAAAGGTGCACAGTACCTGCAGCCGTTCTAAAGTTGTATATTTACATCATGTTTCTTTCTGTCTTATTTGTTCATGCTGAGTTAAACAGTGAGGCTCCATCTCACCTTGTCTCTTGAATTCTTTCAAATTTGTAGTAATTGTTAATAAAACTAAGCAAACAAAAACTACTTCAATATCCATCATTTGGTTTGAAATTTGTTAAAAAGATCAACATTCTTGGCTCTTTTCTGAGCTGAATGAAGTGATCTCAGTGAAGGCTGTTACATAACATGCTGTGGAATTTAGACTGGGTTGGACACGGTGACATCGCAGATTTAATGCCTCTTTTATATCAAATAAGATAAGTTTTTGGTGGAACTACGGAGCTGCTGAAAACACAATTGCGCAACAGTGGAGCTGACAATGACACAGCACGTTTCAGTGTTAACAGATGCACCTTTGTAACCATCAATACAAGGGATTCATGCAGAGTCACAGTTACAGGGTGAAAATACTTAAAGAGGTCACGTCTTCCTCTGAAAAAATCATATCCACTAACAAACTACAATAAAAGGTTCTCAAGCAAATTTCATTAAGTTTTCTAAACTTAAATTTAGTTTTAAACCAATTAAATAAGATATTTCTGTTTAAAGTACCCACAAAATGAAGTTGATGCGACTACAAACAACATAATGTTTGCAACTGAAAAGTTTAGTTGTTTTTTTTTTTTTTAATTGTTAAATTAGGCCCACCAACCATACATTTAATTGTGTGGTGGGAACAGGACACTTGAATAACAACACTTGATGCTTAAATTCACAGTTTTACTTTGAGGTTTCCTGCTGAATCTAAATAATAATAATAATAATAATAAATGTTATTTATGAAGCACTTTTCAAAACAAATGCTACAAAGTGCTTTTCAATAAAAATGAATTAAAAATTAAAATACAATAAGCACACAGAATCATTGATAAAAGTAGAAAACACACACAGAAAACAGGAAGCTGAAAAACATAAAACTTAAATCTGAATCAGTGCAGTGAAACAGTGTAAGTTATCAGCAAACAGCTAAAAGAGGAAGGGGTGGGTTTGATTTCAGTTGCCTGTAAAAGTACAGTAAGAGCAAGCTCCGACAAATATTGCATCAGCTGTCACCTAATCCTTACGGTAAATCCCACTGACCTCAACTGAATGGCTGACCGGCTTCTGCCCTTCTCACCATGACTACTGCACCGACTGTGAGAAAAATTAAAGACACAATGAGACGCTGTGTTAAAAACATTTAGTCTCAATGTCATATTGGCTTTGGTTGCCCTCGTGGTTTGTTTGGGTTCATGTGTGAGCTGAGCTCAGGTGGTCTGAGCTCTCTGTTGTGGGAAGAATTCTGTGTTCTTTCTCGTTACGGATCAGCACAGTACTCGCCTGAGTGCCACTAAAAGCTCATTTCCTAACATCAGTTCATAATACTGCACCAACGCAATGTTCATGTTGATCACCAGTGAAAATTTAAAGTTGTATCGGCTCATGGCTGTCTCCAAAAATCAGCTTACAGTGTGTGTGTGTGTGTGTGTGTGTGTGTGTAATGCGATGCTCTCGAGGAACAATTTCCCAGACCTTTATTACAACCCGTCGCCTGTCAGCTGCAGCAGCCTGTGCCTGTGCTGCAGTACCGTTGCAGTAAAGTGATCTTGCCCATTCAAGGCTATGGAAGTGTAACCCCCCTCCCCCGAAGCACCAACAATTGGTTAAATATAGATGTTTGGCTGGGCCACTGTGTAGTGGAAATGCACAGCTGCTGTGGTTAAGCTGCAAACAGGACAGAGGCTTTGATGGTATCATTTGACGATGAACGCTATTCATAGCTTGATATACTGTAACTGCCGGGATGAGCAGGGCTCCATTTCAGAGTTAAGAGGTGCATCCAGAAGTTCTCTGAGGTCACAAAAAGCCACAAAGAAGAGGTTTCTAGATGTTAAACCGAGTGTGTTTTCAATAAATGGGATAATATTTCAACAGTCTTTAAAAATTCATCAAGGTTCGTTAGGAAAACAATGCAGATGGATCCTCGTGGATGTTTAAAATTCAACCTCAACAACACTCTGAGCATCAAAATCAAACATGACAAATAATTAGGGATGGACTGATACCTCTTTTTGATTTCCGATACCGATACCGATACTTCAACTTTGAGTATCTGCCGATACCAATACCAATACCGATACCATCTCTCCTCCTAAACTTCTTTGGAAATACCTTATTTGCATGGATACATTTGTTTAAGATGGCTTTAT